ACCTAATGTCGCGACTTGAGGTCAAGCGGCAGGGGAAGATCTGAAAGCTGGGGGCGTCCGACTAAATCTCACCGAAGCGATGGTGAGCAGTGCTCAAACCTAAGGCTAGGGACAAGAAAATGTATTAGTTAGTGTAAGGTAAATGAGAGAATACAGGAGCTTACTGACCTAGGGACAAGAGGTCGAAACTGAGGTCCCTAGGGCAGCAGAGGCCGGCTTATATACATGGGGAGATTAGGGCAGGCTGTGCACGTTGGTCCGTGCGCAGCTGGTCTGTGCGCAGCATGCCGACGCGGCCACGGGGGCCGGTGAGTCAGAGCGGCTGTGTCAGCGGAGCCCGAGCTGTGCCGCGCACTGCCGTCCTATCTAATCTAATCGTACAGTAGATATGATGCGTCCGTATCAGGCAAGTAGTACAGAGGTCGCGGGTTCGAGCCCGCGAAAAGGAAAAAATTAAAAAACGGCTAGATGCCGTACCAACTCGTGACAGTTACCGAGTTATGCCTCGAGCGGGTGGTTGTTTATTCGGCCCAGATCTTCGGAAACCTACTCTTTTCGCTGCGGAATGCTCAAATGCCACAATGCCACACTGTGGAGTTGATGTCTGAGGTCGAGGACGATTCATCCCCTTTCTCCGGCGGGCATCCGATGCTCAAGCGTATCGACCTGGATGGAGAAGGTATGGACGGCATCATTGACTTCTTCGAGTACATGGGCCTCCTCACAGCCGTGGAGACGCTGTCCCTGGGCAAGGCTACCCCCTTGAGATCAAAAGATGTCACGCAGGAATCACTCCATCGCCTCCTACTCGCCGTGGCCCCCTCTCTTCGTCATCTATATTGGTCGTGCGCGCTGAGTGTCGCCTGGGAGTACCTGAAGCTCGACCGCCCTGCCGCAGAAACCAAAGATTGCTCAACTCCCATCCGAGCCGTATATGACCACCTAGAAACAATTGAAATCGATGCCGATATCAGTTCGTCGGATACGTATACGTGGTTATCCACATTCCTCAGCGGCATCACTTCTTCCACGCTCCACACCATTACCATATCGTGCCAGTCATTCTATAGTCAGGACGTCCGTCAACGTCCCCTGCGAAAGACAAGCTCAGACTTCCGGAGGGTTACGCGTGCCTTCCCCCCCGCGACATGTCAATTTATCGATGAGCTATTGTCCACGGATCCCTTCATCTCAGTCAAAAAGCTGGACATCTGCATCAGAGTTAGATACGATGATCCTGATATCCCATCCGTTCAGCGGTGCAGAAAGCTCTTCGCTCCGCGCTTCCCAGCGTGTTTTGCGCGTGGGATTTTACAGTATGTGGTTTTACACAATGATGCCGATATTGCTCTTGCGAAATACTAACCGGTTGACCTTGGGTCTTGTAGGCCGTCCGTCATCGTCCTTGGTCCTGTTGATTTGTGGTATACGGCTTTGGACCCAAAATTAAGACAAATCAATATAATCAGAGTCCTGGTTGCTATGTCACGTACTATCGATACTGCAGCTGCCGAAGTTGACTCCTGTATGCTACCGTGTATGTCCTGCAGGTGTGTTTATCTACGAGCGAGGCTCGTGCCTTTACTCCCTACGATGTGTATTGCACAGCAGGTCTATTTGCGGCGAATCACTGCATACAGCAATGAATAGGTGTTGCATACGAGACGAGTCAAAGACACAAGACGACGGCCAATCTGACCATAATGCGGTCACGTGTTTGTTCTAGTACTACCGTGTTTGCTTATTGCGGCATATAAATTTAGATTTCATCACCATCATGCCATCACGCCTTTCTAGGTACATTGCCTCACCCGTTTCAAGGTCGGCTGGACCTGACTGAACGATCTTGAATGTTGGTTTCGGGAGTTCAAGGATCATACCTCGGCCCGGAAGCCCTGCCGCCATTCGGGGGCGTTTGGCCTGACCGCCGTTCGGGCTGCATTTCGTGGGTTTGAGATGGAATGTTACTCCCGAGAGGCTCCCTTTTCGTTGTCTCGTACTCAGACCTATCGTATGCGCACCCCGCCACCCGCTCGCGGTGGTGATGCGATGGGTCTGGGTACGAGACAACCCTCTTCGGGGATTTCGGGATCGGAGCTCTAGGGGGATTATAAGGGGTCCTGCGCGTGCTGACTGTACCTCCTTGTCGTCTAGTAGTTGAGTGCTCACACGCACGCAATGACAACCTTCGATCTTCTCCATAGCATAGTTTATATCGCCCTTACTTGGGCGCTATGGTACGCGCTGCGGAGTTGGTTGGTCAAGTCTCCGCTTGACGACATTCCGGGACCCAAGCGACAGTCGTTCGCCAAAGGTCAGTGAATTATTTATGTGAGGCTTTTCCGTCTCACTCGGCTATAGGAGACTATGCACGTCTCTATCATAGGCATGGATTGGACTTCCATTTCCACATTTGGAAGAAATACGGTCGTGTTGCGAAGATACACGCCCCCTTTGGTGTATGTTCGGTCACTATTGGTGCTTGCGTGGTCTCATAGTGAGCAGGCGCAAGCGTTATACGTATACGACCCCAAAGCCCTACACCACTTGTTGATAGGTGATCCAACTGCGGTAGAACAGTCGCATTTCATAGTCGAGTTTGTTCATCCAAACACCATTGTAACCACTACCCCTCACTTCCGTATGCAGGAGCTACCGGCTTATTTTGGGTCCCGGCCTCATGTCCATTACTGGTGAGATATGCCGCAATCCTTACCTGGAAACTATGCTAAAGGGAATATAGGCGATCGTCATCACCGGCAGCGGAAGGTGCTCAATCCAGTTTTTTCTACAGCAAATCTACAGGCGATGATGCCTATAGTCGGCCACGTAGCTCAAGAGGTATGCCAGTCATGGCATGAGAAGATCTTCTTGACACCATTCTTGCTTTAGCTACGCGATGTAATCGCTAATCAAGTAGGGAAGTCAGCGCAAGAAATCGACATGCTCAGATGGATGAATCGTGGCGCTTTGGAGATACTCGGCCAAGCTGGGTTGGGATACTCGTTCGGGCCCCTCTCCGCAGATGCCCCAGATCAATTTGCGAGAGCGTTAAAGGGCCTCTTGTCAGTGGTCCCCTTTGCATTTGCACTCCATTCTCTGCTTATGCTTTTGCTCAGCCCATCCATGTCTCGCCTTGGGTTTCTCAGGCAGCTGACCCCGCTGTTCATCAAGTGTGGTTCAGCACGATTCCGCAGAGCTGTGGTTGAGCGCATACCGAGTAGCGCAGTGAAGAATCTGCTCTCAATTATAGACGTCATGGACGAGGCCTCGCGAAACATTTTCCTGTCAAGGAAGCGAGCGATTATGGGGGAAACGAGTGACTCACCTGGGCAAGTTGGCGAAGGCAAAGATCTCATGAGCTTTTTGCGTGAGCTGACGGTCATCTTCCTTTCACTCATCTTATCTCATTCAAGTCTAATAGTCAGAGCGAATATGGCTACAGACATGGAGGATCGCTTAACGGATGATGAATTGCTAGGTCAGATCTCGTGCGTACCCTGACTCTCCTTCCAAACAGAGACTTTGAAACAAACACATCGATAGCTCTTTTGTATTGGCGGGAACGGACACGACTGCGAGCGTTGTGACACAAATACTGCAACATCTCGCAGAGCACACAGCTATACAAGATAGACTGAGGCAGGAACTCAATGATGTCGACGTCGAGCATATTTCATTTACTGCGCTCATGAAATTGTCATACATGGATGCTGTTGTAAAAGAAACGCTCAGGCTGTATGATGATATTTACTCCGTATGCATATAGCGCTGATTGAACGACCTAGAAACACGCCAGCAGCCATGGTCTCCAGACAGTGTGTATTTTTTTTGCATGCAGGCATACGAGTACTGATAGCCCACCAGGACCCAGAAAGATGTTGTCATTCCCCTTGCGTCGCCCCTTCGCACACTTGATGGCAGTCTCAGGAACGAGATTGTGGCTCCGAAGGGCACGATCATATTCTTAGGTCTCCTCGCTCTCCACAGAGACAAGGATATATGGGGCGAGGACGCCAATGAGTGGAAGCCCGACCGCTGGCTTCGCCCATTACTGACGACTGTGGCTGATGCCCATATTCCCGGCGTGTACTCACCATTGTGAGTCGGTCATGTTTTGGCACGTCAAATACATCATTAATCTTGGATCAGGATGACCTTCGTCGGAGGAAACAGAAGTTGCATGTAAGCGTCTAGAGCTCTGATAATGTGTAACGCTACTGAGACCCTGTATGTACAGAGGGTTTCGATTCGCAGAGATGGAGATCAGTATGTCGTTTCTCCTGCGTACGTGGACGTCACTCAAGTTGTTGCTGAACAGAACAGCTGCTTGCTGTGCTTATTAGCTCTTTCCGCTTTGCGGCGACCCAGAAGAACATTGTGTGGAATATCGCTACCGTTCGATTCCCCACGATAGGGCCGGAAGGCTCGGTCCCTCAGCTCCCACTGATTGTCAGTCGTGTGTAATGGACTTGATTATGTACCGCATCCCAAATGTGTACTGCTGTTCAAGTACGATGTTCGAACCTTTCGTATATGTGTTGTTCTCATACACTGCAAGTGAGCACAAAGTGATTTTCATATGTTGAACTTCAGCAGCAGAAGTTCATTTCATGGTACGAGACGATGTACTCATCCCGGGGGGTCTTGCTCTCGACAGTCATTGATCGCAAGTCGCGCACGTTCTAGGCGGCTGTCTCCCAAATTTGTCGTGATTGGGCGAGTCTCAAGTCCATACTAGGTAGGTGCTGCATCCGAACACATTGTGCTATGTGTTCGCTGTAGTTATCGACGATGTGGTGGAGGAGAATGCGTCGAAGCCGGAGAAGAACGTCAATGATCCGGTCTCATTTCGGTTCAGTGTCGTTCATTCCGTTTCTCTTCGTTTCTTCTAATTTTCGTTCCTCCGTGTGTTTCTATTATTTCGCTCCAAAAAAACGATCCAAAAGTACGTACACACTCCTTCTTGACAGCTCTAAGACTTGCAATGACAGCGTCGAGGGGGAGGAGAAGCAGCTGTCGTAGGCTGATCGATGGTGCCGACGTCGTTACGCACCTGAGGGCGGCAGGTCGCGAGCGTAAATATGACGCGTCGGAGGCTCACACCTTCGAGAAGCTGAGACATTGACAGTCGTGGATCTGATCCGGAGATATCGAATCCCGTTTGTCTGTGCCCAGGACGGGGCTTCCATCCGCGTTCAGAATATGTCTTTCTGTTTCGGACTTCTTTCGATCTATTGCTATGCTGTGCGTCATTCACTCCTCCTAGGTTTCGTATGATGTCACTCGTGTCAAGGCCTCTCTGTACTTATAAAAGCCTGCGTCGGTGTCGAGAAATATCATCTTCCTCTCTCCCTTCGATCACGTTTCCTTCCATTACCCGGCTTCAATTCTCATGGCAAGATCCATCAACTGACAGTATACGCATGAACTATGCCGTCAAAAAACCTGCTATCAAAGAGACTTTGGTCGAGGCCACCTTCCTTTACCATTGACACGCGTGGTTTATCATGTGCGGGACAGGATGCTGAGCTTATGGACGAGCCTTGTATTGACGGGCAAGCGCTGCGATACCCAACCGATAGCTCGTGCTACCGCGATCGATGCATCAGTGTGCCGGTGCGCCGACGTGATCAGCATGGTAAATGTGTAGCAATGTGTAGCATGGCAATTAGAACGAGCATGGCTGTAAGGTAAGTAGCCATTCTGATGGGTGTTGTACGGTATATGGTAGACAACAAGGGAGTTGCAGGCGTAGGATAGCCTCAAACAACAGCGTCGGCCAATTGTTCCCATCTGGATGCAGGAACACTCCCGGACACTGAAGCCATCCGTTATGCCATACGATTCTGCCTTGCGAATGTGGCACTCACCTTGCTCGTAGGTATCCTTTCGGTAGAGGACCATGACCCACCGCTCCGCTTTCATGTGAGCATAGCGCTGCCTGCTCATACGCCAGCGCACATGGATGAGATAGTCGAGGCTTTCCACGGACGTCAGGATGTAGACGGAACCGGGCGGTGGGTCCTTCCTCCCCTCCAGGATGTCTGGAATCGACAAAATGAGGCTCTTCGCGCCCGGAGAGAAGACCTGCGGGTCGTAGAACAGCACATTCACGACGGGCGCAAAGGGAGGCGAGGGGTCTTCCCATCTGGTCGAGAAGATCCGCGCCGGGCGGACCTTCGCCTCGAGAACGCAGAGATCGGAGGCGCTGCGCGCCCAGTTGGGCGGCACGCCGACGGAAAAGGGGACGCTGTTGAGGAAATCGGAAAGCCAGTGTCCGGGGTACCCAACGCGATACAGATGCAGCAGCAATGCGAAGAATGCGACGAGACCGTGCGGCATGCGGATCTTGAACGGGGGCTCCTTGCTGCGGCCGGAGACCAGCTCCGCGAGAAGTACGCGCGTCAGCCAGGTTGTCAACTCTTGACGAGACGCCAGTTCCGAGAGCGGCCGAGGGAGAGGGAGAGAGCCAATCGCCAGGACGGCCATCACGGCCTCCTTGGACACCACGCGACAGCCCAGGTATCGCGGAACGTCTGCGAGTTTGAGGAAAGTATAGCTGTAAATCGCCGTCAGCAGTCAAAATAGGCGCAGGCAGGATGCCACACATACTTGTGGCAAAACTCTTCGTCATCCTTCCAGGCACCCGAGTTTAACAGGCAGTTGCATGCGACAGCAGCTTCTGGTTGTTGCTGAAGCTGAGGCGCCATGTACAGCGCGATGTCCATCGTCCCATGCGTGTAGTCCCTACCAGACCATCAGAAGACAGGAACCCAGATCATACAGCATGTACACGCACGGGACATTACTCAGCCATGCCCGTGTGTACAGCTTTGGGAATCCCGACGGTCTCGTCTCATCGGCGTCATACCGCATCTTCATAAGCACCTGCGTCAAATTTCCAGCAACGAACTCTAGCACGACATGTTCCTGCACCGTCTTCAAGGCGTTCGCGACGCCATCAAAGAACACGCTGGCCATTTGGTAGACGCGTCGCCCATCCTCGCCTGCCGCGCCGCCACCAGACAGGCCGCAGTCCCGGCTGAAGTCGGCAAAGTGCTCGTAGGACTCGAACGGCGCAAGGTGGAATTGCGGTACGCCGGTGCGGTTCCATAGCGGATGCTCGACATATTCGTCGTCCTGGGTCCGAGCGTGAGCATGTTACCGTCAAGCATCCCTAGGCACACGCACGAGGAAGGTGACGTTTTTCCTGAAGTCACACTTGACATGACGCTCGAGCTGGACACAGAAGTGAGACGAGAACACGAAGCGACGCTCAATGTCACTCGCCTTCTGCTGCAGAGCGCTGGACAGGTCCTTCCCGGCCTTCAGCCGCCGCACCGCTCGCTCAACGTCCGGGTGGTGCCCGAGGTACTCGTCTGGCGGCAAGAACGTGTGCATCGCGCGGTACATGATCTGCTCCACGCTCGGTTGGTCCGTGCGCTTCTGCCCGGCCATCATCACCTCGACGATCGGCTCCTGGTACTGGCGCACGAACGCACGCGCCTCCGCGACGGACAGCTCGGGGGGCATGAACGGCGCGTTCACGACCTGCTCGTCCGTGAACGCGCTGAGCATGTTGCGGAACAGCTCGCGCGGGTCTGCCGAGCCCGGCCGCATGTTCATGTTCTCCAGTGCTTGTAGGCCGCCATGCACGGCGTGCGGGTCGGTGTAGTCGTGTGCGTCGTAGAGCCGCGTAGCAGTCAGTGCGGGTTTCGCGCCCGAGGCCCAGTACTCGAGGGCCGCGACGATAGCAGCGATGGAGGATGGAGCGACGTACAGCCAGGAGGGCAACCGTGGCGGATTTTGTGCAAGGCGCTCGCGGAGGTCGCCGATGACGTGCTGCAATCTGAAGCGGCGTCCTCGCAGGTGAGGAAGAGAAAGGTCACAGGAAGGAGTGGCCTACCTTTCATAGCAGTATGCTGGCATCAGGACTGCCCCGAACGTGTACATGATTGTGGCTCTAATCTCTGTTTGGGCGGCGGGTCTGTGGTGTTCATTAGATCATGCACGAGCATGAAAAGACACAGATCCTTCGTGAGGATGGTGAGGTGGATGTCTAGGAGAGTAAAATGTGCGTGCACTTTTGCTTGTTTGGTTTTAGACAGTTTGCGGAAGGTCTGTGACAGGCCGATCAGTGTACCAAAGACATGTCGCGCTGTAGACGACGCGTCATGAGTAAAGGCGTAAGTGGCCACCAGTGGTATTCACTTGCCATCGCCAACGCCACCGAAAAGGAAGGCGAGTTCGGAGAGACGCGCAGGAGACATCCCTGTGATGTTGAGAGGAAATTGGCGCGACTTAGACGGGGTCCACCCTTTCATCATGTCGATAACCGGGTCCATTCCAATCTGTGGACCATGTTCAGCATCGCTCCCATCTGTCGCAAGACGATCAAACCTCACAGGCATATACTCCAAAGTGGAATCTCTGTGCAGCGTATAAGAGCACGCTGGTGTGTGACGAGGACAAACTCACGGTGCCCGTTCAAAGATTGACATTCGAGCAAATGCACGCAACGCTTCTCTAGGCTCTCTTGCTTCCACCGGCTGGATCTGCAGAATACTGCATTCCTGCCAGGCGCGCACCAGTTCCTCAGACTGACCCTGTTTGGTGCTCCCAGATGCTTGTGTTAGCGCAGCCTTCTCCAACGAGTCGATTGCATCTGCATGACGCAAACGCATGTCGTGGGATATGACACCAGCGCGCGTCCCGTTGCATAATGCTCTCGCCAAGCGCAGAGACAGACGCATCACAAGGTCCGGCTTCGCATCCTCACGAGACTGAAGGAGATTTCAACTTCGCAGCACTGCCTCGGCACATGCAGCATAGTCCCCGAGTTCAAAGGGGGCCGCGCTGAGGTTTGAAGGATACACGGGGTCCGACGCGTCTGCTTTTTCGGCCTACACAGCTCAGCCACGCTTTTTATGTATGTAAGACAGAAGATCTACTTTGGCATATAGCGTCGCAGCGCTGTGACGGCGCACAAGGCACAGGTATGAGTAGCCGTCTGCGATGGCGACGATGCACGTACTCGGACTTATTTTCGGCTTTGAACAGAGCATTGCCCCTATCCTTGAGTTCTGGGGCGGACGACGACATTGCTGCAAGGCCAGCGTACGCGGCGAGAGAGAAGACAAAGCTCAAGGTTGCCTCGCATCGGTGTACAAATTCGGCTCAGAGTCAGGTGCACCGATCAAAAACGCGAGGCGTCGACGCGTGTTCGCATGATTTGGCATTTGTTTGGACGGTAACTTGCCGGTGATCGTGGGCTGGGCGACCCTGACGATCTGGCGGTGCAAGATCTTCAGGTCCCCGTCGTCCCATCCCGATCTGTGGCTGCATCGTCTCCATGGGCTCGCTGTGCAGCCTAGCTATGAATGCATCTTTCGCGAAAACGAACCAGCTGGGCTCAGCGATAATCCAGGGGATCAGGGTGAGCATGAGATCTGGATGATGCGGTCGTGCTTTGCACTGAGACGAGTTCAGGTCATACCCTTCCTCTTTCGCTATCAATCAATGTTGCGTGGTGTCACTTACCTCGACGCTGAGCCTTACTTGAGCCAGCATTCAGGCAACGTTAAATGTGACCGTTCCCCTTCTTAATGGCGGCTTAAAAGGTACACGATAAAATCGGCTCATGCGGGCCGCTGCGGCCGTCCGACGTCATTCGTCGATTATACTTGATCTACACATTTATCCCCTTGAAAACAGCACTTCAGCCAGGCCCGATTCTACTCTCAACAACGTCCAGTCTTACCACAAATTCCGACCCCCTCCTGACGCCAGCCTTCGAACATGTCTTCCGAACACCCTGTGCGTCAGATCGTCATTATCGGAGGAGGAATCATAGGCTGTACGACGGCGTACTATCTGTGTTCGCACCCCGCCTTCGCCACGTCTGGGACGAAGGTTACGCTACTTGAGGCCTCTGTCTACGGTGCTGCGCAAGGGGCTTCGGGGAAGGCAGGTGGTCTCGTCGCGAAGTGGGCGTACCCGAAGGAGCTCGTCAACGTCTCATTCCCGGAGCACGTCCGCCTCGCGCAGGAGCATAACGGCACACAGCGCTGGGGCTGGCGGTTCGTTGGGTGCGGAAGCTGGGAGGGACGTGGAGAGCTGGCCAGAGAGGACACCGGCACGGGCGTGGGCAAGGGCGGCGAGCGCAAGAGCCTCGAGAAGACGAACGGGCTCGACGCAAGCACTCCCGCGAAGACGCAAGCACCGACGGGCCTACCGGACGACCTGACGTGGGTCAAGGCGGAGCTGACGGACGCGTACTCACCGATGGCGCCGGCGGGCGCGACGGCGCAGGTGCATCCGCGCCTGTTCACCACG